CAATCTTTTAAATTATTTCTAACAATTTAGGGGAATGTTTTTGACCATGCCTGATCTGTCGTGCAGAGTCCGCCTGTGGGGGGACAGGCCCGACCTAGACCTAAAACAAAAATGACGCGCGCGAGGCCGAGACACGCACGGAGACTGGACGTCCGAGCGCTGACGGCGTCGTATGTGTCTGTTGTGAGCTTCCTCCTCCTCCTCCTCCTCCTCCTCCTCCTCCTCCTCCTCCTCCTCCTCCTCCTCCTCCTCCTCCTCCTCCTCCTCCCCCTGCTGCTCCTCCTCCTCCTCCTCCTCCTCCTCCCCCTCCTCCTCCTCCTCCTGTCCCGCTCCCCGCCGCGGAGGCCAGCGGCGCCCTGGGCGCCCTGGCGTTCGAGGTTCGGGCCGGGCGAAAGGGGGGGGAATTGGGAAAGGGGGGGTTACGAAATCTGCGGCACGCAGCTGGTTTCGGCCTCACCGAGGGGCCCATTCCTCGATACATTAGCCGCTTCCGGCGCCGAGAGGCGCCGGGAAAAGCAGCTACGTGAGCTGATTCTCCAACCCCCCCCTTGCTATCCCCCCCTTTCGCCCGACCCGAGAGGTGGCGCTGTGCGACGCCTCCCACGCCCGCCTGCGGGCATTCGTCTGCGAGGAGGTCTCGGGGGCAACGCTGGCTACAGGGGGGGGGGGGGAGACGTACGGCTTCGAGGCTCCAGGTCTTCGAACGTCTCCGTCGGTCCTCGGCGGCGACCCGGGCCTGGCATGGCTTCCGGTGGCTGCGCCTGGCCAAGAGCGGCCCGGGGGCTCCCAGATCGTCCCGAGCAGCCGCCGGAGGCCAGAGGTGTGCGCGACTCGGGCGTCCGGCGGCCGTGGACGGCACTCCGTCGCAGGGTGCCGCGTTAGACATCCCTTCGCGAAAGCACGAGTGGTAATGTCGGCCATTCTTTAATCAGGAGGGAGAAAAACACACGGACACAATTACTCGTCGATTCCCCAGAAAATATAGGAAACTATGGGAAGTGGGGGGGAAGACAAAAACCCAGAAAATATAGGAAAATATAGGGGATCCGTTTATTTGTGTGTATTTATGTGTGTGCTCCAGGGCCCCTTCATTTAGCAGCTGTCCAAGAATTGGTAAGGAATGCTCAGCATGGCCGCTTGTGGTTCTGCGTATCGGGGTTCCGATCGTCCTTGCAGCCAGTATGGCCCGAAAACCCGTGGGGAGCGGGATAGGCCCAAGGGGGGGCGCGTCGACCCCCGATCGCCCATGCGTCGCCCACATGGGGGCCTCCTGCTCCTCCTCCTCCTCCTCCTCCTCCTCCTCCTCCTCCTCCTCCTCCTCCTCCTCCTCCTCCTCCTCTTGCTCCTCCAGGTGCTCGCCCACGCTGTGCTCGCGGGACAAAAAAACCTCTTGCTCCTCCTCCTCCTCCTCCTCCTCCTCCTCCTCCTCCTCCTCCTCCTCCTCCTCCTCCTCCTCTTGCTCCTCCTCCTCCTCCTCCTCCTTATCCTCCTCCTCCTTTTCCTCTGATTGCCCCACCCCGCCGAGGAGCGCGCGGATTCGCTATCGGCGGGCCTGTCGCCCACCTGTCGGCGACGCGTCGCCCATTTCGGGCCGATGTCTTCCCCCACCCACCCCGGGAGCCCGCCCCACCCCCTTACATTCTTGGCATCGCTCGGACGTGTGCATTTCTCCTTCGGCGAGGGCCATCGAGAAGCATCCTTGATCTTTTGGCGAAAAAGCCACGCACGAAACCGAACAAAAACACAGGGAATGGACGTCCGAGCGATGGCCAGCATTAGACATCTGACGGTGTGACGTGCTCAGCGCGCGGCCCCCAAGGCCCGACCCCTCCCCCAGAGGGCAGTTTCCCGTCCTATAGATCCGCCTTTGATGGCCGCGGGGCCCCCACGACGGGCCGCAGAGGCCGAAATCCAAGAGACACGCCCAGGTCGAACAAAGAATTCAGGTGATTTTCAGATTGGTGGCGAAATCCCAAGCCTACCCTCGCTGATCAACGATTCAGGCAACTCGATGGGCGGCGGGGGTAGGGCTCGTTTGTCGAGCACGTGGCGAAGTCCGAACCCTACCCCCGCCTCCCATCGATTCAGGAGAATCGACGGTTGGTGGGGGTAGGGCAGGGTAGGGCTCGGATGTCGCCGCCGACCGAGGCAACAGACGTGGCCCCCGTTCGGGCCGAACGAACGGGAGGGATAGGGAAAGGGGGGGGGTACGAACTCTGCTGCATGCAGCTGGTTCTGCCCCCGCCGCCGGGCCCATGCCTCGACACATGGGCGCCTCCTGGCGCCGGGAGGCGCCGGGAGAATCAGCTGCGTGAGCTGATTCTCAAACCCCCCCTTTCCTATTCCGACGAAGGCATCTATCCACCACCACCGTGCCAGGCCAGGGCCATCCTGGGCCGCAGGACGGTGTATAGACTCTCCCTGGCTCGGCCAGGAGGGCGTATGCACCATCCTATAGGGCCCAGGAGGGCCCTGGCCTGGCACGGTGGCGGTGTATAGATGCCTTCTGCGTACCTGTCCCCCCCTATCGCCTGGCCCGAGCCGGGTAGGGTTCGGATGTCGCCACCGGCCGTGGCAGCAGACGTGGCCCACGTGCGCCGTCGTCGCCGCCGCCGCCGCCGTCCCCGCCGTCGCCCCGCCGCAGCGGCGGAGGCGCACTGCGGCCGCGAGGGCGCCGTCGCCCGCCGTCGCCGTCGCCGACGTCCGCCGCCGCCGCCGTCGTCGTCGTCGCCCTCGCCGTCGTCGCTGTCGTCGCCGTCGTCACCGCCGTCGTCCGTCGTCCGTCAACGCCGTCGTCGTCGTCGTGGTCGCCGCCGCCGCCGCCGTCGTCGTCGTCGTCGTCGTCGCCGTCGTCGTCGTCGCTTTCGCCGTCGTCGTCGTCGTCGCCTCCGCCACCCCTCAGAGGTCATGCCTCACTGCCCGCGGCTGATGCTCGACTGCGTCCCGCGCTGCACCGGCGCCGCGCGCGCCGCGCTCTTCCAGGGCATCCTGGCCTGCGGGCTGGCCGCCGAGGCGAGGCTGCAGTTGCCGGACCTGCTGTTCGGGGAGCTCGTCGAGCACGCGATCGCCGGCAGGGACGTGCGGGGGCTGCTGGAGGCATCGGCTACTCAGGGGCATGGATGGGGGGGGGATACGCGCAGGGGGATGCATCGACCCCCAATCGCCCATAGATGGCCGATGGGGGTATGGTAGCCCCGCCCCGCCCAGGAAGGTGCGGATCTGCTATCGGGGGCCTATCAACGATCTATCGACGATGTACCGCAGATTCCAGGTCGCTGTTTCCCCCCCTATGCCAGTTCTCCCCCTCTCGTTGCCCCTCAGCCACGCTGAACCCTGACACCCACGCGTCCTGAAAAAGACACGACGGAAGGTTTTTGGCCGTGCTTTGGCTTCTGGGCGGCCGTGACAGGCTTTCGGGACCGTCCAAAGACGACTCAGGATGAGAAGCCGGCCCAGGGGAAGGAGCCCAGACAGCTGGGGTCCACGTTGTAACGACAACAGGCGCCGAGGGGTCTGGAAAGAGTGACCCTTCGCCGGAGTGACCATTGATCAGAGCCCCGAATCATCAGGGGTAACTCGGGTCAGGGATAACTCGGGTTCGTTTTTCGGGAATCCAAACCCGAGTTACCCCGGACCCGAGTTACCCCGGATAACTCGGGCGTCCAGAGCCCCGAATCATCAGGGATAACTCGGGTCAGGGCTAACTCGGGTTCCTTTTTCGGGAATCCAAGCCCGAGTTACCCCGGACCCGAGTTACCCCGGATAACTCGGGCGCCCAATTGTAACGAAAACAGGCGCTGGGGGTCTGGAAAGAGTGACCCTTCGCCGGAGTGACCAGTGATGCGGGTGCACCGGGGTCCCCCCAGCGAGCGCTGGCTGCCGCGCCCGGGTTTGGCTCCCCTGCGGCCTCCACGCAGCCGCGCAGCAGAGGCCACTCCTGCCTGCGCACAACTCTTGTGCGCACAGCCGATGGAGGCCGCGCTGGCCGCGGGGGAGCTGGAGGGCGCCAGGACGCAGGGCAGAGAAAAGCAGCACAAGCGTACAGTGCCGTTTTTTTTTATACATGCTCCATGTGCGGATCATGTATTACAAATGCAGGGATGTATAATTAAAGACAACGATGGGTTCATGCATAAATTTATTTATAAATTAATCATGTTATATATATATATATGTGTATTAAAGTATCCAAGTGCGACCCTACCTAGGAGTTGGAACCCCTAGGACAGCAGCATTAGTAGTAACAGTAACGCTAAGCTAAAGCTAAGATAAAGCTAAGCCACAGCTAAGCTAAAGTGAAGCTAAAGCTGAGCTAAAGCTAAGCTAAAGCTAAGCTAACGCTAAGCTAAAGCTGAGCAACAGCTGAGCTAAAGCTAAGCTACAGCTAAGCTAAAGCTAAGCTAAAGCTAAGCTAAAGCTAAGCTAAAGCTAAGCCAACGCTAAGCTAAAGCTAAGCTACAGCTAAGCTAAAGCTAAGCTAGAGCTAAGCTAAAGCTAAGCTAAAGCTAAGCTAAAAGCTAAGCGACAAGCTAAGCGAAACGCTAAGCTAAAGCTAAGCTACAGCTAAGCTAAAGCTAAGCTAGAGCTAAAGCCAAAGCTAAAGCTCCCAGGAGACTGGGGGAACCGCTCGCAGGGACTGGGGGAACCGCCCGGGGCGCTTTCCACTGCCCGGCCCCTTTAAGCTAGAGAGTAAGAACCCTTCTAGGGAGAGCCTAGGTAGAGAAAAATTTGATGTGTTAGAAACTGCCCTGTATAGTTTCAGAGGTCCACGCGGATTTCTCGGGCCAGCGCTGGGCCTCGTCCCCTGGCGCGCGGGAGCGCGCCAATGGGCGGCGCCGAAGGCGCTGCCAGGGGGGGCGCAGCGCCGATCCGAGAAGTGCTTACCAGCCTCGAACGTATCCCTGTCGCTAAGATTGACACGCCAAGGGGCGATGACAATCTCAGGGAGTCGCCCTCCAAAGTAGGGGAATCCCTAAGGTTGGCATCGTGATGAGGAGGTGCCCAGCATGGGGATAGGGACATGCTCCAGGCTGGTAAAAGTGCGCGCGGACCTCCTGCGAGTTGGCCCCTCGGTTGTTGGGAGCAGATGTCCTCGGATCCCCAGGTCCGCGTGAACCCTCCTCCCTTTCTTCCTCCTCCTCCTCCTCCTCCTCTTCCTCCTCCCCCTCCTCCTCCTCCTCCTCCTCCTCCTCACCCATCGGTTGTTGGAAGGAGATTTCCTTGGATCCCCAGATCCCAGTCTGCTGCAGGCGCCTCCCTACTTCAGGAGCCGAGCGGCCTCCCTCTTCCTACCCTCCTCTGCGGGGGGCTGGCGGAAGCCCCATGTGCTCTCAACGCCTCCCTGCTGCTGGAAAGCGACCGAAGAAACCGGGTCGCCTGTGCGCGACAGTTGCCCGCACGAGGTCGCGAGAGAGCGCCCTCGTTTCCCAATCTATAGCTTGTCGCTTTCGCGGCCCGCGTGAGTCAAAGTCACCAGGGAGGGTCGCCATGTCATCGTGCGCAAGACACGCTTCTTGTCGCATACGAGACGTTCTGGAGAGGGCCTCGCTCTCGAGGATCGACGGGGTTAGCATCTCTGTCCTTGCGGACGGCGGCGGAAGGTCGGCAGAATGCGACGACGTAAAACGGGGCGGTGCCGCTGGCGGAAGCCAGCGGAAGGGGGCGGAAGTATACGTCAGCCTCCCAAGAGATGGCAAGGTGTTTGGGTGCAGGGTCCCCGGAACCCGTCATGTCACGAGCTGACGACCAACACCCATACCTATGGACCTATCGGTCCCTCAGAATTCCTGGGATGGAACTCTTGGGGCGGGATGGGTGTGTGCTGTCGGATGGGGGCCCCTGGTCGGACGGGGGCCCCCCTCGGGGTCGCACAACTCGCACCATGCCTACAGCGCCTCCATCGACTCCCCAAAATCCCTCCTGCCTCTTCGAGTGCCGCTCGTTGGTCACCATGGAGGAGGGGGGGGAGGGGGAGGAGGAGGAGGAGGAGGAGGAGGAGGAGGAGAGGAGGAGGAGAGGAGGAGGAGGAGGAGGAGGAGGAGGAGGAGGAGGAGGAGGAGGGTGTGTGCCTACCCCGTGGCTGCTGCCCGACCGATGGGCCTGCCCGTGCCGCTCCCCGGAGCTCCGAGGGGTCGGCAGCGCGCGGTCCTCGCGAGAGCCTCGACCCACTCCCCAGGACTGGCGTCGCTCGGACGTGTTCACTTTTTCCTTCGGCGAGGACCATCGAGGAGCATCCTTCATCATCCCCAGACCCCCTCGAGTCATGAAAAAATCACGACGGGAGGTTTTTCGCCATTTTCGGCCTCTGGGGGCCCTCACCGGGCCTCGGGCGCGTCAAAAAACGACTCAGGATGACAAACCGGTCCTGGGGAAGGGGTCGGGACCTCTGGGGGTCGACGTAATGAAAAAATCATTACGTCGGGGGTCTGGGTCTGGCGCAAAGAACCACGCACGACCCCCCCCGAAAAGACACAGGGAATAGACGTCCGAGCGATGACCAGGGTCCAGCTTCCCATCCCGAGCCGTTTTTTCTGGCGGGCCAAGGCGAGGGCCCCCCCCCGGGGCCGAGACCCCGCGACTTGAGCCCCTCCGTCTTGCTCCTTTGGCTCCCGTCCGCGCCGGAGAGACCTCTCTGGGCCCCGTAGGCCTCGGAGGTGGACAGACCTCCTACCCTGACACGTCGATTGAGGACTTGGCCGTTTTCGGTTCGCGAGAGGGCGTCGCGGCCGTCATTTTCGCGGGCCCAGGTCGGTGGTTTTCGGTCCCAGGCCGTTTTCACTAAGGGGAGGTTTACTAGAGGGAGGTTTGTCCACCGCCGAAGAAGGAGGAGGCGACGGAGGAGGAGGAGGAGGAGGAGGAGGAGGAGGAGGAGGAGGAGGAGGAGGAGGAGGAGGAGGAGGAAGAGGAGGAGGAGGAGGAGGAGGAGGAGGAGGAGGAGGAGGAGGGGAAGTTGCTTCTCTCTGGCCCCATAGGCCCCTCCCCCCGAGGAGGCTGCTGGCCCGCTTCGCGCGCGTGCACCGCCTGCCGCCCGTGGGCCGGCTGCTGGAGCAGGCCGGCGAGGGCGGGGGCGCCGCGGGCGGCGAGGGCGCGGCCGCGCAGCTCCTCGGCACGCTGCGTGCGCTCTCGGCGTCGGAGGCTCGGAGGGGGCGGGCGCCACCGGTCTCGGCGGCGAGGGCTTAGGAGCCTCCCCTGGCCGAGCCACGATCCCAGGGAGCCAGCACGGTGAGGCAAACAGAAGCAAGAGCGCGATCCAGGGGAGCCAGCGCAGTGAGACAGCAAAAGCGAGACGGAGAGGTGCGTCGCCGTCTGCGGCCTCCAGGCCTCGGGACCGTCCAAAAACGGCTCGGGATGAAAAGCTGGTCCCCGGGGATTGAGAGCCAGCGCAGTGAGGCAAACAAAACTCGAGACGGAGAGCTTCTTCGCCGTCTTCGGCCGCCAGGGGCCCCTGCCCGGCCTCGGGACCGTCCAGGAACGGCTCGGGATGAGAAGCTGGTCCCGGCGAGTGGGGCGAGGCCTCTGGGGGTCGACGTCATGGGATGATTGGTGGTCCCCAAACGTGGTGGTGAGAGCACCCGGTGGTGAGTTTTGGGGCGATTTGGGTCATGCTTTTCGAGCGCTGGCTGGCCCAGGAGACGCAGAACCTCGCGGCGACCGCGTGTCCCCAAACCCGGTGGTGACCCAGAGTTATTTTTTGGGGGAATCGGGGTCACCACCGGGTGTCTCACCACCTGGTTTGGGGAGACCACCAAGATGATCATGACGTCTCAGAGCCCCGAATCATCAGGGGTAACTCGGGTCAGGGATAACTCAGGTTCGTTTTTCGGGAATCCAAGCCCGAGTTACCCCGGACCCGAGTTACCCCGGATAACTCGGGCGTCCAGAGCCCCGAATCATCGGGGGTAACTCGGGTCAGGGCTAACTCGGGTTCGTTTTCCGGGAACCCAAACCCGAGTTATCCCGGACCCGAGTTACCCCGGATAATTCGGGCGTCCAAACCAAGATGATCATGACGTCGGGGGTCTGGATCCGAAGCCTCCCCTCGCCGACCGACGATGCGGGCAACTCTCGAGGGGCGGCGAGGTGCTCGGCGGTCGTCGTCGGCTCGCGAGGTCGAGGCCGCAGGTCGAGGGAAGACGCCCGGGTCGAGCAGCGAGCAGCCAAACTGTCTGGACGCCCGAAATGGGTACCGAAAGAATGGGTAAAATGCCCAACAACAATTCCTGTTCATTTTGAACAGGATTCGCTGTCCGCGCCGCCGCGGCCTGTGTCCATTCGAGACAGAAGGTCGCCTGCCCAACAGCGGCCGCTGTTGGCTTGGGACAACATTTGTTGTTGGGCATGTTGCCCATTCTTTCGGTACCCATTTCGGGTGTCCAAAAAGGCGCCCGGGTCGAGCAGCGAGCAGCCAGACAAACTGGTTTTTTCAGATCGGCGGCGAGAGCCGAAGCCTACTCTTAAGTCGGGCGGGTCCCCCTGCAGGGGGACCTTCGACGAAAAAATACAAAAAAAAATACCAAATAAAACCCCAGAAAGGGCAAAACATATCCGAAAAATAGACGCCCCGGGTCGAGCAGCGAGCAGCCACACTGTTTTTTTTTCAGATCGGCGGCGAGAGCCGAAGCCTACTCTTAAGTCGGCGGGTCCCCCTACAGGGTAACTTTCGACGAAAAAATTAGAAAATACAAAATAAAACCCCAGAAAGGCAAAACATATCTGAAAAATAGACGCCCCGGGTCGAGCAGCGAGCAGCCAGACTGTTTTTGTCTCAGATCGGCGGCGAGAGCCGAAGCCTACTCTTAAGTCGGGCGGGTCCCCCTACAGGGGGACCTTCGACAAAAAAAAATAAAAAATACAAACAAAAAAAAAAAACCCAGAAAGGCAAACCATATCTGAAAAATAGACGCCCCGGGTCGAGCAGCGAGCAGCCAGACTGGTTTTTGTTTTCAGATCGGCGGCGAGAGCCGAAGCCTGCTCTTAAGTCGGGCGGGTCCCCCTACAGGGGGACTTTCGAAGACAAAAATTAGAAAATACCAAAAAATACCCCAGAAAGGCAAAACAGATTTGAAAAATAGTCGCCCGGGTCGAGCAGCGAGCAGCCAGACTGGTTTTTTTTCAGATCGGCGGCGAGAGCCGAAGCCTACTCTTAAGTCGGGCGGGTCCCCCTACAGGGGGACTTTCGACGAAACATTGAAAAATACAAAAAAAAAAAACCCAGAAAGGCAAAACATATTTAAAAAATAGTTCCAAACTATGTTTGGACTAATTGTTGATAATCTTTGGGGTCTTTTTTTTTCTTTCGTCCAGAAGCCCCCTGTAGAGGCGGACAGGCCCGACTTGAGCCTACCCTCGCCGATCGGCGATGCAGGCACCTCGATGGGCGGGGGGGGCCGGGCCCGGAGCTTGTCGTTGATGGCCGCGGGGCCCCACGACGGGCCGCGAAGGCCGAAGTCGAGGGAAAACGCCCGGGTCCAACATCGAACAGCCAAACTTTGGACGCCCGAAATGCGTACGTACGGACAAAAATGGGTACAATGCCCAACAACAAATGTTGCCCCAAACCAACAGCGGCCGCTGTTGGGCAGGCGGCCTTCTGTCTCGAATGGACACAGGCCGCGGCGGCGCGGACAGCGAGTCCTGTTCAAAATGAACAGGGACTGCTGTTGGGCAGTGTACCCATTCTTTCCGTACCCGTTTCCGGCGTCCAAACAAACTGTTTTGTTCAGATCGGCGGCGAAATCCGAAGCCTGCCCTCGCCGGTCAACGATTCAGGCAGGTCGATGGGCGGTGGTGGCAGGGCTCGGAGTTCGTCGAGCTCGTGGAGAAGGCCGAGCCCTGCCCCCGCCTCCTGTCGATTCAGGCGAATCGGTGGTTGCAGGGCTCGTTGCGATGCCACAGACTCGATTCGATTCGATTTCGACGGACTCCGATTCCGATGCGGTTCGGTTTCGGATTCCGATTTGGGATCCGATGTCCCAGCGGAGGCCCACGAGCCTGCCGATGTCTGGCGATTCGACTTTCCCCGGCTCGGCTGCCGATACCCGTCGATCCGATTCACGTCCATCGCCGATCCGACCTGTCGATCCGATGCTGGGCTCTCCTGGGGTTGGCGGGGCTGGGGCTCGGATGTCGACGTCAGGGCTCGGGGTCCACTGTGGAGCGGAGGTCTGGGAGAGGGGCGGTGAGGATAATTGCGGGAGGAGGCGAGGCGGCGAGGGGGAAGAGTGGGGACGGGACGGGCCCGGGGGGGGAGGGCGAGATAAGGCGGGGAGGGGAAGGCTGCGCGGGGGCAAATTTCGATACCGGTTCCGGACGTGCTGGAAAGCACGATCGTTTGGGGGCCATCGATTCGCGCCTGTTGGGTTCAGCCTGGCGCAGTAGGGGGCCACGTGCGACATGACGTGTAATTGCACCACGACGCCCAGTCGGCCCGAGAGCCAGGGAATGCGGTGTGCAGGCAATCTGGCGTGCCACAGGTTGGGAAGTTGGGGCAGTGGTGTCCATACCCCCGACGCCATGCTTTCCTCACAGGGTGGACCCCGAGAAGTCTGCACCCAACCCCGGGGGTGGAGCATTTTTTGTGGGCGGCCCCGAGGCTTGAGAAGGGGCCCCAGAAGACAAACAGAAGGTGTACTCCAGATTTCGTAATAAAAGGGAGGGGGTCACAACCCTCCCAGACGAGAAGTTTTAGACCCCCCCAGACCATCCATGAAAGGGCGGCCCTTTGCCCAGACCCCCCCTAATCCTCCAAGACAGCTCAAATCAGACCCCCAAAAAAATGTGACCCCCCCTACTTTATCATGCAATCTGGAGTAGTATACCATTATATTTTTCACGACCCGAGGGGGTCTGCCGGGCCGGGCGAAAGGGGGGGATAGCAGAGCGGGGTTTTAAGAATCAGCTCACGCAGCTGATTTTCCCCGCGCCTCCCGGCGCTGGGAGGCGCCCATGTACCGAAGGAATGGGCCCAGCGGCGGGGCCGAAACCAGCTGCATGCAGCAGATTTCGTAACCCCCCCCTTTCCCTATCCCTCACTTTCGTTCGGCCCGAGTCTGGGTTCACCGAGCTCTGGTGTACAATGGCGCCGAGCCCCTCCCAGAGGCCGTGGGCGAGGGCTGCCGCGAGCTGCTGCGGGACCTGTGCAGCCCGGAGGGCGGCGGGGACAGCTCGGAGGCTCAGAGGAGGAAATCACAACCCACCAGACCACCCCAACCCAACCCGAAGGCTCAGATTTGCCCTCGATTTCTAGTGTGGGGGGGTCCGGGAACATCGAAATTACGCTACCGAGGAACCCCACATACTTATATTATGGCTGGAGTGATGAGAGCTGAAGTGAAGCATGTGAGAATGATGTTGGTGGCCGTTGCCCCGCCGATACCGCTGTGCCCTGGACGACCGTCACGGATAGCGGCCGCGGTGAGAGACCACCCCCTGCGCACCCCCTATGGTGTCGAGAATATGCCATGCCTGCTGTGCCCTGGACGACCGTCACGGATAGCGGCCGCGGTGAGAGACCACCCCCTGCGCACCCCCTATGGTGTCGAGAATATGCCATGCCTGCTGTGCCCTGGACGACCGTCACGGATAGCGGCCGCGGTGAGAGACCACCCCCTGCGCACCCCCTCGGCGTCGAGAATATGCCATGCCTGCTGTGCCCTGGACGACCGTCACGGATAGCGGCCGCGGTGAGAGACCACCCCCTGCGCACCCCCTATGGTGTCGAGAATATGCCATGCCTGCTGTGCCCTGGACGACCGTCACGGATAGCGGCCGCGGTGAGAGACCACCCCCTGCGCACCCCCTATGGTGTCGAGAATATGCCATGCCTGCTGTGCCCTGGACGACCGTCACGGATAGCGGCCGCGGTGAGAGACCACCCCCTGCGCACCCCCTATGGTGTCGAGAATATACCATGCCTGTTGTGCCCTGGACGACCGTCACGGATAGCGGCCGCGGTGAGAGACCACCCCTTGCGCACCCCCTACGGCGTCGAGAATATGCAATGCCTGCTGTGCCCTGGGCGACCGTCACGGATAGCGGCCGCGGTGAGAGACCACCCCCTGCGCACCCCCTATGGTGTCGAACGACCAGTCACGGATAGCGGCCGCGGTGAGAGAAAACCCCTGCGCACCCCCATGGTGTCGAGAATATGCCATGCCTGCTGTGCCCTGGACGACCGTCACGGATAGCGGCCGCGGTAAGAGACCACCCCCTGCGCACCCCCTATGTGTCGAGAATATGCCATGCCTGCTGTGCCCTGGACGACTGTCACGGATAGCGGCCGCCGTGAGAGACCAGCCCCTGCGCACCCCCTATGGTGTCGAGAATATGCCATGCCTGCTGTGCCCTGGACGACCGTCACGGATAGCGGCCGCGGTGAGAGACCACCCCCTGCGCACCCCCGATGGTGTCGAGAATATGCCATGCCTGCTGAGCCCTGGACGACCGTCACGGATAGCGGCCGCGGTGAGAGACCACCCCCTGCGCAACCCCTACGAATTGTC